TTGCCTGTTGCGTAATGAGTGCCTTGTCACAGCAGGAATCGGTGCCACGTCGCCGTGTTTGCGTATAGCCTAGCAACGCTGTTACCTCACGCCGTCTTACGTCACCGCGCGTTGCGCGTTACGTCACCGTGCGGAGGGGGGGTGACGGAGCGCTGACTCATCCGCCACGTCACTGTGGGGGGGAGGGGTTGTCCTCCATTGCGCAACATGTCACAATATTATGAAGCTCTTCATTAAACAATTTCTAAAGAATTGAATACGTTTTTCCACAATAAACAGTCGTTACTTTTTATGTTATAAAAGGCATTAACCTGTATTTCGTGATAAATGAATTACAATATAATCCAAATATACAATCGTTATAAGTCCATGTGAGGTCGGAAGTTCTCACACCGGTGACTGTGAAAATTAGGCCTACAGTCTTCTGGGACGTGACAATGTAATCCGGTACGTCATCACCATCGTTTCGGTGTAACCCGCTACCTTTCTTTGGGACAGACCGTTCCTCCGAAACGTCAATATCTATCAGACTATAAGGCGTCACATTCCAGAAGACGGCAATATAGTCTAATTCCTTTTCATTTTTAACAGTAAAGTTGTCTCCATGCTTAACTGATTAAGCACTAGGCCATGAAGACGTCAAATGGGGAAAATACTTTCAACCTTCTGCCGATCAGTATTATCCCCGAACACACGTTTTACATGCTTACTGAACCCACTGGAGCCATTCTAACCTACCCAAGTCATAACACCAAATAACGTTAACCCACATAATACACACGACGATTTTTCAACTATATACGCATCGACTATGTAACTACTTGGCAGACATTATAATTCATCAATTTAAACTGGGGCACATGTTTCAGCACAGTGCATACAGTGTTTCGTTTTCTATAGACATATCCCTACTGAGACTGGTTCTGAAGGAACCGCTAACCAGCTCATCCAGAAAGAGAATGCAATCACGTGGCTACTTTTTCTTTAAGCTATAAAAAATTACACCGCAGAGCAGACAGACCCAATTACATTAAATACTGCCACACTCGATGGTAGGACAACGTTTATGGCCCTAGTAACTAATCACTGACCATTCAGCATTCTAACTGTGATTACTTATCTCTATAAATGCATGTCTTTCTCTCATACGGACTTCTGCTGCAAGAACTCTGCAAAGTCAGATAAGTTGTTCAATATCCCATTTCCGAACGACCTTGGTTACATAGTCGAAAAGCTAAGAACGTTTACCGAGAAAGATACAAAGACAAACTAAACAAAGGTTGCGGGTTGTTGTTCTTGCTGTTGTTGTAGTTGTTGTTGAACTGCTAAGAACTTGCTTAAACGTCCCTTGTTAACAGCCTGATGAAATAACTGTGATTAAGAATCCTTGAAGCAGCCAATATGTTTGGGATAGGTAATACAGTCAGACCGAACCGCTAAGAAAGTTGCCTGAGGGTGAAAATTCCAGGAGACTACGTACAAGCTCCATGGTGAACCAACCGCACCTTTCTATGATCTCAGATCCGTGTAAGACACAATGAGTGCAGTATGCAAAGGAAAGATTAAATGGAAGCCTTCTTTCTGTTTACTTTTGTGCACATGTGGTTGTCACAAAATCACGTGGGGTCCGTTAATAAATACACTACATGCTGTAAAGAAAACGGGGCAAGAAAGAGCCACTGATTTTGCAACAGATTTTAATATCTGTGATAAAACACTTTACCTTTTATTATGCTCGCCAACCATTGCAAAAAGCAGATGCAGCAGTTACGACAGTTGACCTTTAGCAACCAGATAATTCTCTTCTCGCCTATTACAATCTTCCATAAAGCATCGTTCGATAAATATTCACTACCGAATTAAAACACAACATCAAACACACGAAAACGACGACAAAACCTACGAAACAGGTGCTTTTGGACCGGCTTCATTTAACACACCGCCAAAACAAACAAAACCAACACAACACCAAATTTAATCACACTAAACGATACACGTAAAACACATAGATATCGAACACACAACAGAAAAGAATCAAAAAATAATCGTCAAATAAACGACTGATTCGTTTACGCAACTTTATTACAAGAACTTCACGCATTCGTCCTCACCACTTCGACTTTCAAGGCGGAATAGTTAGTTTCATTTCAGCGCTGACAGTCCGACGAGTCCGACTACCTCATACACATGCGCTGCCAGAGCCGAACTACAAAGCTGGTGGATGGTGAGAAGCTACATGACACACAAATAGATGACGCTAGTGATGTAGTGCGCCATTTTAAGTCTGATCAGACTTTATGTAACGTGAGGTGTGTTATCTATGACCATAAGCGTAGACCGCTTGCCGGTGCAGCATATATTCGTCAGTATGAGATAGAACGAATGAAATTTTGTCAGCATTAGTATTAATCTCGATATACATTTTGCAGTGTAATATTACAACCCTTTCATTCCTTCCGTGGTAGTTTCATCAGTTTGTACCGTTTCCATTTAGGTTGAGGGTGGGGAAATTTGGTATTTCAGTGAGCTATACAAACTATCGCACCATGGAAAATTAGATGTTTTCCCTGAGAACAGAAGAAGACATAGCTTTTAAATGGGAAAAACCTATTAATTTCAAAAATTATTATGTTCAGTGGAAGTAGTTTCACTTCACTTCATAGGAGTATTCAGGTAACGCTTACTACCTTCAGGCCAGAATATCTTGTCCTCTTGCCTGCAATCTTGAAACATAAAAATTATATGTACAAAACTGTAATTAACTGTATGGGTGTGAAACTGGGTCTCTGACATTAAGGAAGGTACACAAGATGGGTGTTTGAAAACAGTTCCAAGAATATTTGGAACAGAGAGGAATGAATTGACAGGAGGTTGGAGAAAATTGCATGAGGAGCTTCATAACTTGCACTCTTCTCCAAGTATAATTACAAGGAGGATAAGATGGGAAGGTGATGTAGTATGAATGGGGGAGAAGACGAATACACATAGAAGAGAAGAGACCATTAGGAAGGGCAAAATGTAGGTGGATGGATAAAATTAAAATGGACCTTAGAGAAACTGGTTGGGGTGGTATGGACTGGATTGTTCTGGCTCACGATATGGACCAGTGGAGGGATCTTATGAATATGATAAAGAACCTTCAGGTTCCATAAAATGTTGGAAACTTCTTGAGTAGCTGCAAAACTGGTGGCTTTTCAAGGACTCGGCTCCACGGAGTTATATCACCTCAGAGGAAAAACTACCTTACACATCACATTTTCTTTCGAATCTCACCAAAAATTTGACAAATAAGTCATCTAATATCTTAAGTTTTGTGAATTATTTCAGTGCAGTATCATGAATTTCAACAGGTACTCAATCACAGAACTCTCCCAAAACACGTAAATTTGTCCCTATGCTTAACTAATTACACCATGAAGGCATATGGGAGTGTGGATTTATAGACTCACATTTTCTTGACCTCAGCACTAGCTGGAGGTGGTCAGCTTCATGCCCTTGGGAAAGAACCCCACAGTACTCATTGTATGAGAGGTTGGGTGAACCCCAGAGCTGGTCTGCATGACATGGAGAAAATTTTTGACCTTACCAGGACTCGGAACTCCGACTCCGTGGTCATCCAGTGCACAGGCAATCACTATACCAACTATGTTACCCTGGCTCCTTTCTACCTGTAAGTCTTACAAAATATATTCTGGATGCAAAGCACACCAGATTCAAATCAGCAGTATAAATGCAATATCATTTAATCACATCCTTTGTTATGCCCTCAGCAATATTCCCATTTTCAGGCAAGGGATTTTGTGAGTACCAGAAAACCTCAATGGCTACTCCAATACCAGAGAGAGCAGCAGATGCTGCATGAAGAGCAATGCCCTGCTTGAAGTTTGTTCAGGTTGCCTGGTAACCTCATAATTTTAAAAAACCTAAGTACCAGTACTCTTGTACTTCACAGTATTTGAAAATGCAATTAGTACAAAATAAAATAAACACAGAAAATTGAATAAATTAATTCCAAAGCTGCGACCCACTAAGTACATTAGAAAACCTTTGACAATGTAGTTTCTTGAGCATTAAGCACAATCCTTCCCCTAAAAGGAAATCTTTAATTCTGTTGGAAGCAAACAAAAAATTTGACTTTATTTGCCTAACATGCAGTTAATACAATGTGATGCAAGTACAAACCTCATTAAGGTTCAGGTTTCAGAAACTTCAATTATGAAGTATTACTTTTTTTATTGCTAGTGGGCTGGGACTAAGTCCCTTGTACTGCAGCCACTTCTGGCCTATTGTACCAGACCCAGATGATAGGTGAGGGTGATTGTGGAATGAAGATTGGCAGGGGAAACCTGCCCCAGCGCCACTTTGTCCACCACAAATCCCACTTGACCAGACCCGGAATCGAATCCGGGGCGCCGCGGTGGGAAGAATTATGAAGTACCATACAAAACTGTCTTACTGACTTATACATATTATGACTTCTATGAACTTTTTTATACATCCTATGCAAATCTAGATGATATTCTTTTATCCTGCAATGGCTCCACAATAAGGTTAACAGATTTTAAAATGTGACAAAATCTGTGTGGATGAACTACATCAGTCCTTGTGGAAGTGGGGTGGAGGGGTGTACAGTTCCTCATACTCCACATACAAAAAACACTGAACTTACACCTGACATCATCAGAGTTGAAATTAATATCTTCAGATTATGGTAAATGTGCAATGAAAGAACATTTCCCTTATTAATCTTTACAACAACAAAAAAACTGAGTAAAAAACGCATCCCTATTCAAGGTATAATGCTACGGGAAGAATTTTGTTTTGCACAGCTTACCATTTCATCGCAGTTCTTACAAAACTACAAATGAGCAAACATTTCTTTTGCCACAGTGTATGTCAACATTTATTACAGGATTAATCAAAATATAACCCTCAAATTTTTCAGAGTAAAGGTGTCAGCACAAGAAAACACCAAATGCCTTTCAATACATATTTTCACATTTTACTAACAGCACATTTTTCACCTTTGAAGCAGTTTTACTGGGAATGCCTGGTGACACCAGCCAGTTACATCACCATCAGCATTGTCTGGTTTCGTACGCTTTGGCAAGAGATAAACATTTAGCTGTTCAATCAGTTTCTTCAATCACATATTGTTTCCCAACTACATTTTAAATTTTTTCAATCTATTTACGGCTTTGGTCACATTCACCCAACTTTTCTGCTAGTTTCTTTCCTTGTGCTTGAAGTATTCCTCCTGAAATTGAGGATCTTCCTTCACTGACCACTTACACCACTCCCACGCTCTCACTGTGTCCTCATTTCCTATTTTCTGCAGATTTCTTGTAATAAGACATTCAAACTAAGCCACTCTCTTTAACTTCAGTACTCTTCTCTCTTTACTACATTCTTCTAAGATTTAGCATCTTGGTGACCTCTTTTAACACTAAACTTACAGTTTTTGATCCTTGGAATCAATTGAAATTTTGTCTTAAAGCAGCATCACAACAAATGTTTATCACACAACTGTCCAGGATATCACATTTCCAAACAAGATGAACTTTTAGCAAGCCCAAACATGACTTATTTTAAACAAAAAAAATAGGTGCAGGTCCAGGCAATACAGTACAAAACTATTATTAGTTTTAAGTTTGTTAAATATCCATATTCAATCTCACACAATTACTTCAATTTATGTTACCAGTTTGTCTCTTAAGAGATAATTTCAGGACCCAGGACACTTCAGTTGTAGCAACCTATTGCATAACTGGGATGTTTACCAGCAAAGAGATTTTTCTTCTCAATAGAGCTCTGAACAGCCTCCTAAGCAATGGGCATTGGAGGCCATAACCACAGGGGTAAAGTGGCAGGGGCATGAAGCTTATAAGTCACCTCCACCAGGTGCTGAAGTCAAGAATAGTGGAACTATACATCCACTCCCCATATGCCTCATGGCAGTACATAATTACATAAATTAAGTACCAAGATAACATTACCTTTTATCTGAGAGGTTATTTTACACAACTGACCACCTTTTTGTGCACCAATGAGATATCCTGGTCCATACAAGTTACCTTTTGGAAAGGTTTCACTCTACATGGCATTTGTAGGCACTTGTTACAAATAACATTCCCAAGACTAAGTCAAATTGGTGTTGTCACAAAACAAAACTAATTTTATTGCTCTATTTTTAATTGTATATATAAAATCAAAGGGGAAAACAGTTTCAAGAGAGGCATGAGGGTTTTAAATTATTTTTCCAACAGGGCTGTCAAGGTCACCTATGGCAAAAGCACTGGAGACTTTCATGGCAGTGAGTCTTCTTGGATGTGAGGCCATGTAGACTCGTAAAGTTTACCAGTGTTCTGGAGAAATATAATGACTCCACCTTCAGGGTTGAACAAGCCAAGAACGCCGCAAGCTATGTTCTGCTTGCACTTCGAACCTGACAATGGAGGTAGTACATCCCTCTCAAACATCTAACTTCTACCAGCCTATGAGTATGGCCTTCTGGACTACAATGCCATGTAGTTCAAAAACTACTCAGTCCATCGCCTGCTTCTGCCGTTTCTTATGTGGCTCACTCGACCCTGAAAATGAAGGCAATACCCTCCTCTGAAAAGGGCTTGCTGAACTACAACCCAGAAGATTGTACTCTTCTCCATCCTCATCATCAGAACCTCAAATGCAACATTCTACCAAATTACATATGTTGACTTTCTTGAAAACCAAAACTGTAAAGTGCGACACGTGGCTGAAAATGACTGGTAAAACTGGTTAAGTGGGCATTTCTAACTGATATTCAATACTGAAGTTGTTTATGGTTGTTCATAAAAATATTCCACAGTCCCTCTCCAAATCTTGGTATTAGAAACTTAAGAGGAATTCTTCTGCACTACTACTGCAGGTTTCACTACAAGTGAGTATAATTTTATAAAAATTACACTTTATTATGAAATGAATATATTTCCTACATACTTAATACTCGACAATTTCAACAGCAATGTTAACTCATGTAATGAATGGAGCTACGAATATCTAATGAAAAGAAAAATGAGAACTTGCGAGAATATTTGATAGGGGAACAATTGGTGCAAATATCACATTAAAACATGACACACTCACCTCAGTAGGTAACACTATTCAATTCTAGAAACGCTCAGCATTCAGAGTTCACACTCTTCACTCATGATTTCATAAGTAATGCTGTTAAGCCAAACAGGTAACTAGTAGAAATGAGAAAAATTCCAGTGGTTACATCAGCAAGACTTATGAAATGACTAATTTTATTAGGAAATTATTATTTTGGTCTATTTGCATGAAAAGTGACTTAAAGAGACACTGCCAACATTATACTTGGCACTCCTCACCATCATTCAGTTCCCCTAACACTGTGCATACAGAATAAAAATGCGCTCGCAAAAACACTCCCCAAGGTTACATTACAACACAATCTTTTAGTCCTTCCTTGGGCCATGAGACAGCCAACAAACACGGTCTTTGTCCTCACAAAAATGGAACTGCACTTATTTAAGGAACGCAATTATGCCGGTTTCTGTGAACCTTTCTTCCCAATCAGCGATTTGTGGATGTGTGGAATGACACCTGCAATGAGAACAATCACAGAAATGGTTTTACATCAATACTAAAATGTTCTCACAGCGTGGGCTTAGAGTTTTTTGGATTCTCTCCAACTTCTGGTATTCTAAAGAAGACATTGTCCAAAGGCTTATAATGAACTCAACTTAACAGGTGGCTCCCACCCTTTCACCTGAGGGTGAAAACAGTTCAACATTGTGTTCTTCAGAATACTAGATAATGGGAAAAGTTCAGAGTCATTAATCCTCTGAATTTAAAGCTCCTTGCCTTTCCCACAAACCACAATCCAATCCACAACAGACCAGCCTTCTGAGAAGATAAACGCAATTAATTTATCTTCCTTAAACTGAAATGGATATCAATATTACACTCACTTAATATTTAAAGAAACTAATTATTTATTCTCCATTTATAAAACAATGTTTGCAGTTATTAAGATCATGCAGATTCAAATGATAAAACTGAATAATGAATTAAGTGTCTGAAAATGGATGTGACACAATAAAAAAAAATCCTGGCATTTCAATGGCAAACTACTGGAGAACAACAAAAACACTGTCAGGATTGTCATTCACCGTGTAGAGGTCAGAATGTCCAGAATACAGAGCAGTATTGCTGATGACTTGATGACAGCACCCAGTGACATTGTGGTTGAGATATGAAGCCAAGGAGGTTAATACTCAACCTAATTAAAAGTTTTCTGAAATTCTGCAAGTAACATCAGACACACCAGGACACGTAAAGCAACCTACATATCAGCTCCAATATATAAATTGGAACTACAAAGTGTCTCCACATAACATGAAGAATCTAACCTCTGTAACTTTTCCTCCCTAAACCTGCATACCTCATACTGCATCACGACTACATGTGATGTACCAACTTAATGCACAGAAAACATACACCTGCAAATAAGAGATGGGGAAAAAACTCTTTAACATACCTCCTCCAGCAATAGTTGCTTTGATCAAACTGTCCAATTCTTCATCACCTCTGATGGCCAACTGGAGATGGCGTGGAGTAATACGCTTCACTTTTAAATCCTTCGATGCATTACCAGCCAACTCAAGAACCTATAAAGCCAAAGTTACACTAACCTCAATAATAACCTCATAAATTGATTTGCCTAAAATGGTGATGACACCAGGGCTGTTTGAAAAAAAAACTCCCGCCAAAATTAAACTTCTAATGAACGAACATGATTTTTACATGGTGCAGAACATACCTATAATGTCATGTCATATATAAATTACGCTTTGCTAAAATGTGGAAATGATCAACTTTCACACCAGCATCACTCATACTGGTTATAACAAGTAACTTCGTACAGTAAAAAAATGTTTGTTTCGATCAAGTTACTCACAAACCCTAGCAGCCATCTTGATTACACCAACTTACCTCAGCTGTTAAATATTCCAGAATTGCTGCACTGTACACAGCTGCAGTTGCTCCTACACGTCCATGGCTCGTTGTTCTGTTCTTTAAGTGTCTATGTATACGTCCAACAGGAAACTGTAAACAAAAATACAGTTGTAAATTAACAACTTCCTACCGACCATAGCCTCTAAAACATGACAGTGCCACTATTTACTTTCACAGAAAACTCACTAACAAACATACCAACTGAACCATAAACACTACACTACATTACAAAGGAAAGCACGTTAAAATAAAATTATAATACACTTCGTTCACTTCTTTACAACAACCGTATCTTACCTGTAACCCTGCCCTCGCCGAGCGAGATACAGCTTTTGCCTTCGCCTTCCCAGAGTCCTTTCCCGCTTTTCCACCAGCCTAAAAAAGCAGAAATATATGGTTAATTTTTGAGCTAGCGCTTCAAAACTTCGCCAGTGTGTAGTTCAGAGCACGCAGAAAACGAATGTGCAAGAATTGTGCACCGATGCCTAATATTTACCATATAAACTTCTCGATACTCACCATTCTACTACGTCTTTCTGTACCAACTTCCAAGCAACGCTATGGTGTACGCGCCAAACAAAACTTATGTCGAACGTATGAAAGGAGTCACGTGGTTCCCCGGAACCAATAGGAAAATTTAAATTTAAAATACACGGCGCGGTGGCGCGCCATCTATCGATCAAACATAGGGTTACGACTAGCTGCAATCGCTTGGCTGGTGAGGGAAGTAAAGATGGCGGGAGTGAAAATAAATTATGAAATAGAATACGTCATACCTGTAATAGTTTACATCATGGTATTTTCTTAAAATTGAGGAATTATATTTACACGTTCCTTTTTTTTTTATTTAGATACCCTCTCTGTAATTATAAATACTCGAAAGATTCCTAATAACTTTATTTTTCGTGTAAATTAAAGCTTGTAGAACTTTCATAAGTACACATGCATTCTTTGTTAGTGGTGCTTCGTGGAATGTTAATTTTAGAGATTCACATCCATTGCACTTAAGTAAGTTCATAGAAATTTATATTTTACAGCATACAGAAACGTTTTTACTTAAAATATGAACAATTAAAACCAAATTTAATTTGTGCTAAGAATTTCATCTGACCACCTTAATAGGAATAATTCACCAATAACTCACAGAACAGATTAGAGCGTTTAAAATGCTCTGTAGAAATCTGACACAGTTTATATATATATAAAATTGCTGATACTTATAAATTTGGTTAATTTGAGAGTGTTCTATTACCAACCCCATCTACTAATTGCCTATGAGGTCACAAAAATGCAATACAATGACAAAGATGTAGACAGCTGTAATATTTACATTTACTTTCATGGCTTGCCACTAAGAAGACAGAGTTCATTTCTGACATGGACCCCAACTATAAGCCATTATTTCACTACTGCTTACCGCTTGATTGTCGACAGGAAGTTCCGCATCTTAAAGTTAGGAATGAACAAGCATGGGGGCTGGTGTTTTTCAGATTTATGAAGTTTTGCCTCTGCAAAAGATGAGAATTTAGGTTAGGAAATATAAAGGTATAATGTAAACCCAGACTACTGATATACTCCACCATGGCCAATTTATTCACAGATATTACATGGCAGATACTTTCTCTGTTACCATAAGAAATTTAATATACCAATGCTATAATTAATAAATTGGCACATTAGAATAAATTATTAACAATACCATCAGTAAGGAAAAAAATTAAATATCACCTCATACAAAGTTGTCTGAGCTCATAGCAATTCTTGATAATTTTCATAATACATTTCATGCAACATAGTTTCAACTCTTAGCATATTTCTTCCTCACCTTGGAAAACTGCAATTAGAAAATACTACAAGAACGGAAATAATTATTTAATCATGCTCAATCCATAAATTCTCAGTATCTTCTAAAATTAAATATAACAAATGATAAGAATAAAATTAATTTGTTCATTTACACAAAAATTTTGTATGTGATATCTTCACTTCAACAAGCATCTTGAATTGCACCAATTCATATCCTACACAGCTACACAGTATCTTCCACAAGACTAACCTACATGAGAAACAAAACATACACAGATCCAACAGTGCCCACATATAATGTGGAACATCCAGCTCTAAAAACCAACAAAAGATCATGCAAGAGAAGACCACTCTGGCTGTAATAAAAAAACAGCACTAATAACACCAATTAATATAATAAAAACATAAATATTTTAATATTTCAACACACAATTTTGTATGTTGGCATTGAAGAGAAGACATCTCTGCAGTGATCCAGAATTACTGTTTAATAAAACAAATTAAACATTTTAATATTTTCATAGTATCATGTCTTAGCATTAACACTGACAAATAACATGCATGACCTCCGAGCATAAATATTGGCCAATGTTGTGGAAAATTATCAGCAAGAGATGGAGTGTACGTATTTTACCTGATGGCAGCTTGAAAGAGCTGAAATGAGTTTTAAAATAATATAAACGAACTGTGATGATGGTGCCAATAAGATATTTCTGGCCTTTCTGTGCCAACTTTTGGGGACATTCATTACCCCCCCTTTGTTACATCTGCATCTTTTAACAACCTTTACCTACAATGCAATTCGATGTTGTAATGGCCTATGCGCCTGGTCGAGCCAGGCAAAAACATTTCTTCACAGATGTGTAGTACTGGGGAACTTAAAAATCCCTATTTACAGGTGAAGGTTCCATTCTTAATTTAAAAAATAATATAGAAAACTGTGGAGCTCCACAGGCTGTTAAATATAGAAAATAAATTATTGCTGCATCCAACCTATAACAAATACATGAAATTTAGTAAAATATGTAAGAATTTGGAGGTGAAGTTAAATTTCATGTTGGGCAAAAATGATGAGTCTTCATCTGCTCACAAGGTACAAAGTCACTCCATGGGGCAGTCATCTGTGTTGATCCAAGTCAGCTACTCAAGAAATTACCTACCTTTTATGGCACTCAAAAGGTTCATTACTGTTTTATGGGGGCCTACCACTGGTCCTTGTCTTGAGTCAGATGAATCCCATTCACATCTTCCTGCCTCCTAAGATCCATTTGTATTATTCTCATATCTAAGCTTGGCAATTCCAACAACTTCCCTTAAGGTTTCCCTGCCACATGATTTATCTTTTATATACATAATGTACAAAGAGTTTATAGGCAATCCCTCACTGACATTCCCAGCTTTCCTAATCCCATAAGCTACTAAGGTACTATGTTAAAAGCTATTGATCCCTGTCGCTGAGATAGTCTCATGTTTTTAAATGCAGTTGCAAGTTTATATAGTAACAGGGACAGCAATATCACAACTATAAGAACATACAGTTTAATTCATGAGGTAGTCTGTTTGGTATTTAGAAGCCATATCACTATGTTGCACCATGTTGGTAAATAACAAGAATACAGTGTAAAGTCATTACTTTCAGAACACGAATTTGTCGACAAAAAATAAGAATCCAGTATTCCTTTCTTTCTGACATTATTCATGTATGCATAAAACACCCTTTTACTGTTTACAGTTTATGAAGTTGCATGTAAAACAGCCATCTGATATATACTTACATAGTAGTCAGAAGCATTTATTCAGATTATATTAAGGATGGATGACTGAACAAATAAGTTTCGGAAAGAGCCCTTAGTATTTACTATAGGATTCTGACGAAGGTGTATAACACACAGAGATATTGGGTTTTCGGACTTTATCCATCATCCTGGTTTTAAGATAACTAAGAAAAACATGACGTTTCAGAAACTGGATCTGTTTCCATCCTCAGGTGAAGGAAAACACCTATTCTGAGGATGGAAACAGATCCAGTTTCTGAAACGTCGCGTTTTTCTTAGTTATCTTAAAACCAGGACGATGGATAAAGTCCGAAAACCCAATATCCCTTAGTATTCGTTAAACTGGGGGGGCTAGGTGAGGCCCAGAGCCAGTAACTAGGCATACTATGGGGAAAACAAAAATCCGTGCCCCATGCAGGGAATCAAACCTCAACCTGCATGGAAATGAGAGTCTAGGCATACGTACACTATATATTAATAGAAGACAGTTTGAAAACTTTATTTAAAAATACAAATGCAAACTGTTTATGGATTAAAAATACAAACTAGTAATGTTTGATATTAATATGGCAGTGTTGAAATCTCAGTTGTGATACAATTACTATGTATAAGATACAGTAAACATAATTGAACACCAAGCTAAGTGATAAAAATAATTAGACACAGATTAGACAAAATATGAAAGGATTTACATCTTTAGTATTGCATCACACTTAAACAAGATTAACAGCATCTGAAGCTGTTACTTTCATGGAAAATGGAACTGTCGCCTTTCTTTTACAGCTTGATAAACATTTTTCATAAAATCTTGATATACAGCTTCAAATGTATCCACAGTTACATGTTACACCCATGAAACACCAAAAATGTTATTCTGTTATATAAAATACATACAAATAGGAAGAGGATCTTGTAGGAGGAAACAAAAATGCACTCTGTTGTCTGGAACTTGGTCAGGAAAAAGTGGTCTGTACAAACACAGGTACACTGAATCAATGAACTGCTAGGAACAGAGAACATTCATATATATAAACATCATTCTTGCACTCCATTCTTTGGACAGAAATGTGTTTCTAAGTTAGTTTGATAAAGGGAACTTACCTGTAACTTTCTTTCAGTCATAGTCCATGTGCACCAATAAATGTTACAAAACTATTCTGTCAAGAATGAGAATATATCTTCTTGTATTCTGTAACATAAGACTCTTCTTCTTCCAATGACAATTTGTAATTATTATGGCATCTTGGAACATTTATACCCCCTTAATGGTATCTCAATCCATTTTTTCATTTTTCTCTCTTTATTGGCACCTCAATCCATTCTTAAACCTATTCTCAACTTCTATCAAAACTTCAAACTTTTCTAATTAAATATTATGTAACATATTGCAATCTGACTACAACAAAAGGCAAAAATAATAATAACCCTAAATATAGTTTTCTTACTTCTGTACATATCTGTATCAACTACAGAATACATATACTGCCTACAGTGTCATAAAAGAACTCAGACAGGAAATACTGGCAAAACAAGCAAAGAATGTAAAAAGAAATACATTAATTAAATTACATTTAAATTAATAATATTATTAAAAACATTGGTAAAGTAAAACACCAAGTTATTGTTTCAAATCCACTATTATCATGGCTTAGCATGTTCAATCAAACTTACCAAAAACAGTCCACCATTCTAACAGTACATAACCTAGCATTTCAATAAATTTCTGTTACTATTCATGGTGTCTGTATGTTTAATTATACATATTCTCCTGTCTTCCCTGTCTGAGCATGTTTGAGACATATTTTACATAATTAAAACACAGTATATCCTCAATATAGTGTTCCTTTATCTTACAGCATGCAATAAAGTAAGCTGAGATGTTCAATCTGTTACATAAGGGTATGTGTAAAATTTAAAAAAGTAAAAAGGTGTGTAAGGAACGATATATTCATGAAATTACAAATAATCAGTTTCTGTATGAACTGTGCAAGTCTTTAGTTTCCGCAAGTATATCCCTTCTCTAATTATGTTCTTTTTTAACATGAATACACCATACCAAGGTTTCACTGTTTTAGTATTAGCACCACATTACTGATTTCACATTAGTACTAAACAGTACTGACATCTCTTGCAGCAACTCTTCATCGACATATCTAGGAATTCCTTTCATGTCCTAGGACTTCTTTTCAAAGTTGCAGGCATCTTTGTGTAATTTTTAGTAAAATAAATGATTTTCAAATTATTCTTTTCTTAGTTCATCACATTTTTCTTCTAGGTCATCCTGCAGAAAGCAAGAAAAATAAATTATAAATCAAAAGTGATATGGAATTTGAATGACAGTAGTAGTTAAGTAATTCACGATCTTAATCACTAGCTATTTCATTGACCACCTGACTAACTTAAATGACATACTCACCAACTTACAAAATTGATGATTCATTACTTGTCTCACATGCTGACTCATTAAACCCCCTGATACAAGATCATCTCTAAACAGCACACAGTCATTCACCTGTTCCAGAATGTCCCATTATTTCAGAACTTGAAGATTTGCTGTTTTACTAACCAAGCCCTCTACTGGCGCTATCCTCATACAGTTCCATCTAATCTGGATCACCATGACCTTTCGTCCTATGATGTATTTTAACATACTGTTCTGTCTATATCTTTCTCTGAGGTCACTCCACCTTTTGAAAGGTGCAAAGAATGATGTACACTAGTTCTCTACACCATTAACACTGTGCGCTGAAGTACTATGAGTGAATAACAGAGGAAGATCCTGCAACTACTACTGTACTACACCTATGAGAAAGAAATGCCACTACCAAAATGTAGGTTAGTCAATATAAGTACAGTTTTTGCTTCAGGTTCATTTTGCTAATGTGTTGCATATAACCACTACAGTTGAGTACATTTTAAAACCCATTAGTTAACCATCTATCCATGAGAATTTTCAATCACAATGCATTTTTTGCTTTTCTTATGCATTCAACGTTTTTAGCTCACAATACATTAAATCCCAGCAGTTCCACAGAATATAGGGGTGTAGGTACTATGGTTTAGAGGGACTTGGCTGTGTCCAAGCCTCAGAGGGGCCTTCTCCTGTTTCCATGCAGCCCAGACTTGACCATACTTATTATCAATTTTCTGTTTATTATTCTTATTTCCATTTTATGTCTATCATATCCCTTTGCCATCTCTTTGTGTAATTACATGAACCCCATATTAACTGAATGCCTTTGCACTGCCAAGCAGTCGTGACCGAAGTACAATAAAATATGTAAAACTAGGTTTCTGCAATTTAAATACTGATGCGTGATGTGTTTAGGGGTTGGCAGGGAGTGTGATGTAACAGAGGCTCCAACTCCTAAGCTGGACCCAGGAGCAAGACACATCACTGTGCCTATGGTAATATACGCTTACTGATATGTCTCATAATCTCCAAGTATACAGCATTTTGAACAATGAATCTCTGACAGTCAAGTTAGTTTAATAATTTTAATACCAAATCTGAAAGGATAAACACATAAATCCTGTGTAGAGGCTATATACATTTACTTGCTGCCAGCCAGCTGCTCTGACTTCTTACTACTCTGAATTAATATGTTATCACATATGAACCTTACATATTGAGAACATTACTAACTTCTGGACTGTGATACTGTGTAATATAGTAGATTGTTAAGAATGTTTTGGAAGAACATCCTGCCTTCATCTTAACAAGAGAATAGCAAGTCAAGCAGAGAGGGAAGTGGTTTTTGTACTCTTCTACAATGAAGACAGATGAAGCACATTCCTCCAAAATACTGGTAATGATCTACCAGACTACATGGTGTCAAATCCAGATGAAAGTAATCTTCATTGTCGAACCTCAAATCTCGCTTACCTCTTCAATTTCCAGACACTTCCCCCACTCCTTGAGGGTAATGCGATGATTGTCATCCACATCGCAAGAATCGAGGAATGGTGCAATGCAATGTTCTAGTGCCATCAACGGTGCTCTGATTGGGAACAGCTCATGACGTGACACTGCACTAAAGAACATAGTAAAATGTTTATAGTAAATAAATATGTAATAACATATACGTTGGCCTTATAATATATAAACAAAATTTTATAGGAAGAACATATGGCACCTACTTTCCATTAGATCCTAAAGATATATGCAAAAATAAAAAGGAATTATAAATTAATTATACAATTTAGTGACATAATTTTAAACATCACTGTCCAAAGCACAAATCATCAAGTAACTGGACTACAGTTAATAATGAACTGAAAAAGATGCAAGAGAAAGCAGTCTTTGCCTATCCTAGAATCTGTATGAAGATATTGGGAAAGATAACATAAAGCTGGTCAGAATAGTCAAGATTTGAATCAGATATCTTTCAAATACAAGAAAGAAGCATTACCACTTGAACCAATTTTCTTATTAATTTGTGAATAGTAAAAAGAACAAAGAACTGATGCATGATTGTGAATACATGGCCACAAAAGGCTCTTTCCAGACACAAGGGAACACCTAGAACCAAATATTGTGGTTAAGTAGTTAGCTCTTTAAGATTCAAGAGATATCACATTTGGTCAGGAACTGGCTATTCTGACCAACAGTTTGTGGTTTATTTCTTACAGGAAAAGTCTGGGATAGTACCTTCACTCTTTGCTCCTCACAGTCCTGCCACTTACATAGCCTTTAAAATGTAAATATCCCAAGGAAACTCGGCTGGTCCATTCCTCAAAATAAACCATGAATTAAGCAGGCGGCTTAGGTCTGCTAAGTATACTTTTAGTTTACTACTGCAATTTTTTACTTGTCATGGGGATGTCCATCCAAGTCACACCACTTCCATACAGCAGCATTGCTCCAGCGCCTTGTCAAGTTGCTCTCAGCTTCACGTTCCATCTTCAGATAGTGAGGTGTAAGTTCCTGGCGATCAGCAAGATCACGCATGATGTGGAACAACCAGTCCCTCATCCTGCGTGGGAAATCTGCCATCTGCTCTGTGGTACACTCCTATTAAATACATCAACATTTTCAGCTCAAAGATACATTGACAGGCAAGCTTGGGCTTGACTGACTTTGACAGTACAACCTAGAAAATTCTAGTCTCAAGCAAATTAGGTCTGTAATCAATCACACACAGAGATAACTTATGCAAACTGGTTAAGAAGGAAAGCATGGAGCACAAAACACTTGCAACTAACATAAAGATTACTTACTTCAGCTAGCTCTGACAGCATGACCAAGGATAGTTTTGTCTGAGACAAATCATATTTTGTGGTAAATGAAACAAGAATACTGGCAAGGTAAAGTATATGGATAGGGAAGGGTACAACAATGCACTGCATCCTGCTGACAGAATAGAGAGAGCTAAATAAATATTTTATGCAACAGAATGCAGTGCAGCTTTATCCATAGTTGGCTTTTCAAAAGGTCTTGCCTACTAATGAGTCAACTAATACTATGTCTTTCTATGATCAATTGCAATATTTTTCACCCATCACTACCTACCTAGCTCTCCAAACTGGTCTCTTACCTTGCATTTTTCTTATGAAAATTTTATGTTTTTCTCATGTCCACAATGTGTGCTAAAAGTCATGCCAGTTATCATCAATGATTTAGTCACACTAATATTAGGCGAAGGATATAAATTATGAAAAACTTCATTCAAAGTATAAAATGCAATATTTTGGAAGTGTTTTATGCTGATAAATATGCACCTGATCTGAAATACACATGCATCAATTTAGCTGTATTTTCTTTAACTGTTCAAATTAAAAATATCATAAATAATATGACAATTCTTCTTCCAGATTAATATTTTCAGAAGCCCTACACATCACACGGCAGGAACTGCTGACACACTCATACTTACAGGCATATCACGGCAGACACCATAATATTCAATGTGCACATGCTTGTATTTTTCTCCTCGGCATGCATCCAGTCCTCTGTCGCACCAGCACCTCATTTGATATACTTCACAGTCTGAGCCCCATGTCTCATTGTGGTTTGAACATACCTGCATTTTTGGTTCAAGGGCAAGATTAACATCTTGGGCAAAAGACACATTCTTAGGTTACTTAATAATGTTTCTCAACTGCATAGTTTCGTCATACTGAATGGTAGAATTATGTCTGGATGATGACTTTAAAGAAAATGGTTATGGCCTGTTTTAAGGAACAATCCTACACCATTTGCCTGGAGAGACTAAGAACCTCTAGATAACCAGTCTTTAGGTTAATAACCGAACCTGGGATCTCTAAAACAGGAAGTAGTAGTACCCATATCAGTGCGCCATTTTGTCTGAGGTAGAATANAAACCTGGGATCTCTAAAACAGGAAGTAGTAGTAGTAGTAGTAGTAGTAGTAGTAGTAGTACCCATATCAGTGCGCCATTTTGTCTGAGGTAGAATAACTGTACACACAGTGTTATACAAGAACTAGGTAAAAGCCCAGAATTGGTAATGGCTGGTCACTTAGATAAATAAAACTTAATATCAAGTTCATAAAATCTCACTAAATTATATCCCACAATGTTACATAATTTTTTGTTATTTTCAGTAAACATATTGGTTCCATTACATTCCTAATTTGAGATATGATTTTCTCTTAACTCCTACACGTAAGGATGTGGAACCTGTACCAAATTCATATCATAAATTCAAACACTTTCAGTTCTCTAAGTTCCATTTAAAGTGCATAGATCAAAAATTAATCACCAACCAAAATTTCATGTGTAAAAGATATGTATCCCAAGAAACACTTCAAATTTTTTGATGTGTCAGGATTGAGCTAAGGATAAATCCTCAAAATACCAACAAATTCTTCAGATTAAATCCATCAGATTATTAGGGGCTGCAATTGAGGGTTTCACACAACAATTCAGGAAATTGGGTCCCTAGTCAATAAATTTCAATAATGGAATTATAAATAAAATTACTAGTTTTAAGGATAAAAATGGAAAATGATTTCTATGTAACAACTGAACTAAGTAAATTTTTCTGTGCACGTTTAGTTATGCTCTACACCAGAAGCTGCCCTGATGTGAATACAAATGTTTGAGGCCCCAAACATGTAAAAAATAAATGACTTAATTTGAGATTTACATATTTCAGAAATAATTAATAATATACTCTAAAGCAGCTCCTCCCAAAGGTGTGCTAACATCTACCAGACTACATGGGGTTAAATCACAGAAGACACTAATCTCACAACCTTAATGATAACAATGAAAAATTATTTCTATTAAATTCCATGTTTGTAACTTCACGAGGCCAATTCAGCATCTTTGTTAGTAGCCGTTTTTTGGAAGCCCATGGAGGAAGCTTCGTGGTGACTCACTTCAGGAAATTCAGTTCTACATAATTATAAACCTCACCCAAATCCACAGAGCTACACACATTTACCGTTTTCTTAAAACATACTTTATTTTGAGTCATCTGATATAATAATACTGTTCACACACTAAGCATTAATGGTAACAGTACACATTGCAGAAGTACACATTTGGGCCAACAAGTTGTCAGTGAACAAGATATTTTCTTTGAAATACCAGTACCTTTCTTCTAGGGTCAACCTCATCAGGACATGTTGAAATACAGACACACTCTGCTTCCCCCTCTTCTGTTAACTCACAGACTCGACCAGCCCCACAGTGCTTCTTAGCACATGGATCTGCAGAATATCAAGCAGAAGTCAATATAAATACCTATTTAAATACAACTTACATCTGTTAAACATGTGGCTCAAGACTAACACTGGAGGTTTCAATAAAAGAAACAAATGCTTCACTTGAACAAAAACAACAGCTACACTCAGAAACTTAACCAAACAATAGTAAGATGAATTAAATTAAACAATTATTTTAAACAGTAAAATCTTCTGGTATGTTATGCCATTTAACCTTGTTGAAGTTCAGGGACATTTCTGAGGAACATACTAATTCCATCTTCAGGTTTGAAAAATAAATCAAGCAAGCAGAGTGTTTTCCACTTTCATTGCTTATTCTTTGAACTAGGAGATGACAGCAGTACATTCCTCTGAAACAATGATAAACTTATACCCGACTACATGGTGCCAGGCACACATGCACACACATACACACTTCTTTTCACCCCCAAAAACACTTCAAAAGTTATATCAAATTCTTGTTTTAAGACACTATTAGTTTCTCAAGATTGACTGCACTGTGGAGTCAGTAGTGTGTGAAAGTTGCAACTTCAAAAATAAATTTGCTGATTGCATAATTTTGCAGAGAATACTATTTCCAGCTATGCAACATTCAGAGGGCCAAACCAACAGCATGTATTACATTTGACACCATCCTCAGTTAATTAGTTACAACAGATGAGTACAAGAGAGAGAGAGAGTTAGCCGTTACATGAGGGTGGTGAACAGATGTTACGACTGAGACACTGAATGTTGTTCATCCATGTACACAGAATTATCCATATATATGTTGGGTTAGTTTAATGCTGGTGTTCAGACTACAGTGTCAAATGGTAAACAGCAGAGTGGTACAACTGAGTTGGAAGAAGTGGGCGTGGTCTGTATTAATGTACTGTGTTACCATTCACCTGGAGGATCTGAGGAAAACTAACAACTTTCAGAAGAACGATTATACAGTGGAAAATTCGATATCCAGGCATCCAAATGATGAGCAAGATGTCATATACCATATCATGCATATATTAGCACATAATACAGGAAATATAATGACAATATGATTATATCCAACACAGTTCACAAGTCAGAAATACAATTCAGTCACATTTCATGATGTGTAAACACCATGTTGTAAATGGTAAACATGTTCCTGGGGCAATGATTACACACAACAATATAAGAACTGTTGTACATGCATGTGTGAGTTTGTCTGTGTATCCCCTTGTTGCTGTTAGTTGCAATTAAGTAAAGACATTCCGAGTAGGTGATTAGTTCTTCCCAGAACTTATTATTAATACTGCTATTTATAATTGTGATTATTTTACCCGTTTCTTGTGTGCTGCACATTCATCACTTGTTGATGATATTGAAGTGTATAATATGCTTAAATTGGAATAAACGAATTACCAAAAGAGAGTCAAGCAATGCAATTTCAATTTTTTTAGGTTCTTAAGATGATTGAATATATTTACTTATAGATGGTGTCGGAGGTGTTGTTCTAGTTCCACTTATATCAGAAGTCACCCTTGGAACAGTGACTATGATGTGTTACAGCCGTGTTTGTTGGCATATCGTTCATAGCTTACTGTGTCTGCTTGTTTGTGTACTTTATCCCATTCAACAAATGTATCAGGAACTGAAGCAATTATTCCTACCTCCCAACAGAACCAATGCCAACCACAAATGGGAAAATACATACATCCACGAGAACAGTATGAGGAAGTGAAGAAAGCGGATTTTTTTATGAGGAAGTGAAGAAAGCGGATTTTTTAAGAGCACAATTAAATGCAGAAGACTTGCCAGGTAAAGAAACATCATTGTCCCTAATGATTTCCCTGGAAGCTTCGTCCTTGGCCTCTTCTTCCTCTTCTATGAGTTTCTTTTTCTTTTCCTCTTCTGCTTCTTCATCATTTTGTAACATTGAAAACATGTCCTTCTCACCAGCTTCATCTTCAGCCACATCATCAGCCGTTTCAGGATCTGACTCTGTCGTGGTGGTGCTTGTGGTTCGGTGACGGCGATACTTCTTTTGCTTTCTCTGTTACAGGCAATTAAGAAAAGTTTCATAATGACTATCATAACTGAAATTGTATGGGTATTTATATACATATACAAGTTAAACTATAAAGCTAACAAGTCTATTATTCTATTCTAATCTACTAAAATCAGACAAGTTATTTATTTCCCTGTTTTGTAGGTTTTTGAAAACACTCTAAGGACGGTTTCTCAGGGACATTTCACAGTCCCTAAGTACCTGTTATCTACCTTGCTGATATTTCTTTGTTCATTTGCACTTTAACTATGCTCTGGCTGGAAACAAATTTTAATGGAAATTTTCATTCTCAATAAAAAATTTATCAATTACTGTCCAAGTTTCCTATGATGTAATTCCATATGATATAACATTCTAATAATTTTTTTGGAATATGGCCCATAACCTGATCAAACTGTTAATTCACGCTGTCAATCAGATGAAACCTGTGCTGTCATCTTTTGTCTTACATAATTATACTGACTGCAAGTAAAAAGAAAAAGGGTATCAAAATCAGTGACCAAATGATGATGTAGAGCGTCAAAATGTAGTAGCCTTACCTTTTAATCATATGATATTCGTTTTCAAGCTTACCAGTTTGTCTCCAAAGACATCAGTCACAAGAATGACAAGAATTACCAACAGCAGCCACTGTAGTTTCATTGTGATTTTGGTTATCTGAAAAACGAGAGGACTTACAATCAGTAAAATCTGACCAAAGAGAGACATGCTTATAAGGATTATGTGAAAAGTCCCCCTAATTTTCCTTGATTTAGGGTTTCGCTTATTTATTAATACATTGTATGTTCACAGTTCAGGTTGGTGTAGCAGTAAATGCTCGACTCCTGTATTCTGCAGGGGCCTGGTTCAAATTTCAGCTGGAACACTGGGTTAGCCTGAGGCGCTTTTCAGGTTTCTTCAGTTGTTCTAGAGGAATCTGCCTAAATCATGACATACCCCCAAAGATTACAGTATGTATCTTCATAGGTGCCTAAACCTCAAATCAATGAAAATAACACCTGTTGTTGTGGGACCGTGACTTCCTACACAGGAACAAGTTGGTTCTCTTTTGGATGGATAATAATGAATGTTAGGGCGAGGGCACACCAAGGAAACTGGCAACCGCAACGCAACCGCAATTTCCGAGAACTGTTATCAGCCTGAGCTGAACACATGCTACCGAATGCAGTAGCGCAAATTGAGGAAACGATGTTCCATTCGGCAACATGAGTTCAACTCAGGCTGATAACAGTTCTCGGAAATTTCGGTTGCACTGCGGTTGCCAGTTTCCTTAGTGTGCCCTCGCCCTTGCGCATAAATCATGCAACTGAACAGGCAGCAACTGATTCTCTGTCTTTGATTAAAAATGCAGCTCAGGGCTGGTTGTGTACGAACTAAATAAAGATCCTGGGCATGAAGTCCAGATATGATCTAATCGCATTGCGTCATTCAGCTACTGCAGAGACGCTGGATAATAAAAATGATGTCATATGAACTGCTGACCATCAAAAGTCGCAATGGTTCATGGGAGTTACAATCAACTTCTCTGCTTAACTTCCTGCAGTCGAGCTGAGTGTACGCTTTCATTGCCTTCTTATCAACTCTGTTCTGCAAGAGAGAGAGAGAGAGAGAGAGGAGGTATGAACATGAGCGAAAGACAAATGGTTTGCTACGAACCCGTGAGAAATTGTTAGCCACCAACGAACTCTACGGAGCTGAACCCTTCTTGAGAAGCCACAATCTGTGCAGTTAACTCAAGAACTTCCCAACATTTTATGGAACCCGAACGTTCATTACCATGTCCATGAGAGCCCTCCACTGGTCTCCATAGCCAGGTCAATCCAGACCATATCACCCTATCCCATCCCTCTAATATACCTTTTAATATTGTCCACCCATCTATGTCTAGATCTTCCTAGTGGTCTCTTTCGACTTTCCCATTAATATCCTAGACGCATTCCTCTTCTCCCCCATTCGTACTACATGCCCTGCCCACCTAATCCTCTTTGAACTGATCATTCTAATTATACTTGGAGAAGAGTACATGTTATGAAGCTCCTCATTATGCAGTTTTCTCCAACCTCCTGTCACTTCATCTCTCTTCGGTCCAAATATTCTCCTCAGCACCCTCAGTCTATGTTCCTCCCTTGCGCCACAGCTCAAGCGGTTAGTCGCTGGCTTCCCGAGTTCGGTCAAGTGGGATTCGTGGTGGACTAAGTGGCACTGGGGCAGGTTTTCTCTGAGTACTTCGGTTTCCCCTGCCAATCTTCATTCCACCAGTTGCTCCACAATCACCCTCACCTATCATCTGGGGCTGATACAATAGGCCAGAAGTGGCCGCAGTACAAGGGACTTAGTCTCACCCCACTAGCAATGATAATAATAAAAAGGTTCCTCCCTTAATGTCAGGAACCAAGTTTCACACCCATACAGAACCACAGGCAAAATTATGGTTTTGTATATTCTAATTTTTATGTTTCTGGACAGCAGACGAGAAGACAAAAAGGTTCTGGACTGAATGGTAGCAAGCGTTACTTGAATTCAGTCTTCTCTTAATTTCCTCTGTTATTGTCGTTCCAAAATATTTTAACTGTGTCACATTTTCAGAAGGCCCGTTACCTATCTTTATATCATGATTTCGCCCTAAACTCTGTTGAGGAGACAGCAACATTTAGTTTTTTCTCTGGGTTCACTTCTATGCCAACCTCCTTCCTAGCGTCAATTTGAGTTTCTGTGTTTTTATTTATGGTAGCTCATGTTGTCTACCAACAGATTTTCAACATCAGCATCGACCAGCAGCTGATGTGTCCCATTTAATTTCAGTCCCATCTGGTTTCCCTGAACCTTCCCTTAAGGGTTGTTCTAAAAATTCGGTGCCGTTCTTTAAATTTCTGATTTTGAAACTGCAGTGTGCAGAACCCGAGAGACTCCCAGCTTACATTTCTCTAATGACGATCTCATGAATTCCAATGGAACGAGGGTTTCCGATTTGAGCATCACGTAGCAAAATGTCGTATTCTTCAGAAAGCCTATTCTGCTACTGCATACATTTCTACTCCAACAAATCTACTACTCTACTACCATTATTTTACAGTATTTTACTTCTGTAAAGACAAAAAGTACAGATTCCGTGTACTTGTCAGATATAACCTAATTTCATCGCATCGTCGCCATGTTTGTAACTGTTGGCTTACAAACAATATTTCATATGTAATGCTTAGTTACACTTAGATCCATTTCCAATTTCACATGGCTGTTTATCTCCAATAGTTCTTTCGTTATGGCCATCACACTGAAAGCTAAAGAAAACTTTCGAACGTCCGCCATATTTGTTATTTTACATTATATAAAAAGCAATCTTAATAAAAGCTGCATGTTTTTCGAAGATCTATTACTACGCGTAATTCCAGCAACTCAAAGTAAGTGCACTAGAGTCGCTCCCATCTCGTTAAGTTTGCGCGTCTGACCCGTTGTTGTTCCTGATTTTAGGAGATTTCAAATTATTTCGTTCATGTGTCCTTCAAAGCTATAACATTAATACCTCATACCCTGCTACGCTGTTTCGACAGACTCGATCGTCTGGTTCAAACGCTGAAACACACACATGACACGATTATTTCATAAACTCGACCCCCACCCCAGGCATGAAAGCAGGATAAAAGACCCTGTTAAAATTACAAATCTGAACGCTAATTGTCCTACAGGAAATGTTCCGAAGCGAGGAAAGAAAGCAATTTCCATGTTTTGCGACTATAAATCATGCTCAGCATGATATGTGACTGACGTTCCAAATTTCTCTATGTCCGTGGCCAAAACGAAAAGTCAATAAGGGTCTGGGGTGGAGTTATATTTGATTGCACTTAATTTCCAGGGCAATGTATACATGCGTGGTCATGATCGAAATGCGCACGCCTGCAGAACGATCTCATTAAAATTGATTCGTTCCATATATTGACACCGAACATGTCGGCCTGACTGTAACGTTCTATATTTGGGGAGGTGTTTGGTTCGAATCTATGCTGAGACACCGTACTGAGATTTTTTCGAGGATTTTCTCAGTTCCTCCAGGTAAATTCCGGGACGGTATCTCGATTAGATTATTATCAAATTTTTCACAGTTCGTCGTTCATTAACCATTACATCCGACGCTACTGAGTCTGAATTTTAATGGCGTCGTTAAGTAACCAAGCGACTAACGAACTGTACATTTCCACAAACACGAAAGATCAGAGTGCTGGGTTACCGAGACATCAAAAACTCAGTTCTGCAACATTCTGTGTACTAAGAACCCCAGACAATAATAATCCCAGGCATGCTGCTGCTGTAATTCAAACGAACAAAAAGAGAGACTTCACTGATACCATGTAGTTCCTGTTTGTTACATTACCGCAAATACTTGGAAATTTACGACAGGGAAGCACCCATGAATCATAAATATTATGGACCTAATCTCTTTGTCTCAAAATGAAACCCCGTATTATCTTCTCACAACCTGAACCGCTCTGCGTTGCTATGTTCAAGTGCTGAGCACAGCAGAGAAGCAACATGGAACTTCCTGTTGATCCGCGGCCCAACATCTGACAGATTACTACTTTATAATGGTTACACAACTCGCATGCGCTATAACCGTTACAACTGACGGCTGGGCGTTTCTTCTTCTGGGATCGGAGGTCAGGGCCAATCATGATCAAAATGGGGAGTAAATTCACTGAAACTGCAACATCTTAGGAACAACTCTGAAGCAAGTTCTTCAGAAACGCTGGTACTACCTATCAGACTACGAAGACACTAATCGTAGAACACCGTAATATTACTAATTCTATCGCTGTTTACGAGGAAAGACGCGCTTTTAACGTCATTTTATATACAGCGTGAAAACTGTCCTGGCGACTCCGAGAACCCGTTTCTGTTCTTATTATTTAAAATCTGACGCGGTATAACGAATAGAATGCGGGCTGAGAGATCCGGGTTTGGTTCCGGCAGGGGGAATAGATTTTTCTGTTCTCTGTTGAGTCCAAGCCGGCTCTGAAGCCCACCCAGCCTATTATTAAACTGGTTCCAGGGGCCTGTTTCAGTGCACCGGGCAAGATTCGAACCGAACGATACCAAACACGAGTCTATAGCCGTTCTCGCTTACACAGCCTGTTCGGTGAAGGGGAACGGAGAATGTGCTTAGTAAGATGTCGCAGACAACCAACAAGAGTTCGTTAGTTTCTTTTTTAAGTTTCTTGGGGTGGGTGAGACTGAGTCCACTTGGTACGTCGGTCAATATTTGGTCTATTTTACCAGCCCCGGATGATAGATGATGCGTGTGGGTCAGTCGGCGGAATGAGAATTCGCTGGGGAAACCTAAGTATTCGGAAAAAACCTGCCCCAGCGCCACTTTGTCCACCACAAATCCCAGATGACCTGACCTGGACTCGAACCCGGGGTCCCGCGGTGGGAAGCTGACGACTAACCGCGTGAGCTATGGCATGGTCACCAACAAGGGACACTTCTGCAGCTTGGGGTTCTGGAGAGAGGCCGAAAACCCATGATGTTACTTACTTACTTACTTACTTATGAAAACACATTGTTACTTACAAGTAACAATGTTTTTTAAATATTAAATTTTAGACTGGGTTCAGTGTGACAGTAACGTAAGAGTATACACCTGATGATGGCCGCTAGAGGCCGAA